TTCTGTACTCGGCGGTCTTAGAGTAAATATTTTGATTTTTTACTAACGTAATAAAGACAAATTTTCCTTTCTATGCAGCGAATTTTTGTAAATGAATGAGTTAACCCTACTTTTACAGGAACGTACGTCGTACCGCCTCAACCCCCATTTCTTTTGACGTGTATTATTTACAGCAAAAGAGCAACTTTCTAAGAGAAAAAGAACGTAATAGGTTTTAATAAAGACTTGATTTTTATTCATTTATCCTTTCCATTTCCTCGAGGCCAGAAGAGGATCATCGACTGAAGCTAGCCGGCGCCCAACAGCCATCATTTTATGTAAGAAGAACCGCCCCTAAATAAAATAGTTTGAGAAAGAAACGGTAGGAAGGGTTGAAAAGTAACCAGCCGGTTACAGCTAGTCGATGTAACTCATGATTTCATAAATTTTAAAATAATTAATTCAAAATTATGTAACCAGCAGTTATGACAAACAAAAGAACAGATAGATCTAAATTTACTTACCTACACGCACCAGGTTCGAAGTTCGAAATGAATTTTACTACCACAACATGAGACATTCAATGTTAGCACATTATTTAACGTCACACAAAAATCAAACTTATTTTCAGGTACCTACTGTAGTTTGTAGCACTTCCTAACTTCCGAGAATGTACATACGCCTCATTTACATCTGGGAATTCCAAAAGTTGTCAACTCCGGGCGTTGATTAATGTTAAGATTCCGAATAATACAAGGCGTAAAAGCATCATAGTGAATATTTCCCGCAAGAATCTTTCTCTTGCAAATGGGAAAATGTTTTAATTATAAATACGTTGTATAGACATATCTGCAATCTGAAAGTTTTAACATCGTCCATTTTTCTTAGCTTTTTTCCAACATTTCATTTCAATTTCACTTTACAGACAAAAGTTGAAGCCATAAACATAAATGTATGCACAAGATATTTGATCGCACACTCCTTACTGTAAGAAATGGATCTTTTTTGGATCTCCATTAAGAAATCTTTTACCAAAATTTCAGTTAGCAGAAGTCGGAGATATGAAACAATGAGGGTTAGAGGAACCAGCGAACGGAGGCCTTTTGTTGGATATACTATGGCACCATGGCCATTGCCCAAATTTGAGATTTGAGATTAGAAATAAAGGAATTGGATAGACGGCAATGTTTGGGATATAAATTTAGTTCCAATCTGTTCAGACAGACCGAACTCATCGAGATTTTGTTTGATTCGGATTCCTGGTGCTTCAAAACGTGTACGTCTGTCAAAAAAGTGGGGGGTCATCTTTTACCCCAATGCAATACCTCCAATGTCCAAATGTAGAGGTAGTGCTTACCCAAATCATAATGCTATTACATTTCAGTAAAAAAATTCGATTGATGTAAGTCTGAATAACAAAAAATGTAATCTAAAAAGACAGTCGTTCGTCGGAATGGCATATGCAGGCATCGATTCTAATCGAAAATAATCCTCTAAAATGGCATAAATAATAGCAAACCATACATTTTTATCAATAGCTGCCAAAAACAAATTTGCTTTGTTGAACGTATGACAAAATATCGATCAATTATTCAAATCGCAATCTCTTTCATTTAGAATTTCCATTTATTTCGACAATGAATGGAGTTTCTCTGCTCCGCGTGAAAACAAAAGCAACTCATTACGTTTATTAACGCGTTCAAACCCTCACGATTTTAGATGTGGAAATCTCAACCTCTACGGAAGTGGTGCTATTTTAGAAGTGAGCATTGTCTGAAATAAAATAAGGTTTTCGATTTGTTTTCACAAAAACGGGCAAATTAAAAGTTGTCTTTTAACGATGATTTCCTTGTTGTGATTGCTGGAATTGTAGGGTTTCCGGTACAAGAAGCGGGTATTCTTGTGGTCGTAATAAGCTATTCCTTCTTTTTTTTTCGAGTAGTGAAAGAAAACCACAACAAATGTGGTTAAAATTCAAAACCTTTACGAACAGTAGCCCAGGTTTAAAACAAGGGTTTTGTGAACTCTAAGTAGAGCCATCCCGGAAAAACAGTTACACCGAAGTCCGTGGTCAAGGTAGAGACCTAAAATGACCTTTCAGTATAAATTTAAACAATGAAATGAACCTGAAACATCATCCTCCAACACTTTCGAGATATTCACAATAAAGTTTTTAGATCGTCAGTACATGTGTCTCGTCTAGGCGATTTTTCCGCCCTTTGAGAGTACCTCTTCCGACATTTCGTTTTCAAGATATTGGCCCCGACTTCATCAAATATGTCTCCCTCAGACGATTCATTTTGCAGTTGAGAGTACTTCCCTCCGACAAACCGTTTACGAGATATTCGCTCTTAATGTTTTGTCATCACCAAGGCAGTGATTTTATGCAAATGCATGTTTTAAATTAATAATATGCCATGTGTGTGCTTTTGGATCTGGGCTGATCAACTTGAATAGAGTTCAAATAACCCAATCAATTTTTGCATATTTTGCATATTTCAGTGCCCTTGTGTATAAAATATTATCAAGAGCATATTCAAGCTTTTTTGATCCCTGTATAGTTATTTCTAAAAAATTTTTGTCTCTGGCCTATTATAAAATCGCAAAGCAAGAAACTTTTGTGCTTTCCTGTTCATAAGTCGACGCCACGGGTTTTGTCTATCTTACTGAATCATAAATTTCGACGATTGCATAAAAAGCTTGCAGATTTTACGTCTGCATTTGTAGTGGCTGCCGTAATTAGTAGCATTTTCCTTCTCGTTGTTATCAAAGGGTAGTGTAAGTTGAAATTAATTAGTTTTTAGTTATATTTTGTGCATTTTTTTTTTAAATTATACTTTGAAGTTGTTGCAACCTGTTGTTTTAAATACCAAAATTTGTGGAAAAATTGTGCATTTTAAAAGAACATGATGCATATTTGGTGCATAATTATCACTATTTTTGTGCATATATATACGCATATTTCTGCATGTTGAAGTGCATATTATTCCTTGCCTTGGTCATCACCAATGGATATATTTCTTCCAGACGTCCCAATCGCCCTTTGTGAGTGCCCGTTTCCGACAATCTGTTCTTGAGGAATTATATCCGATCACGATAAGGGGTCGAGGAGGAGGACTATGGTTGGTAGAAATTAATTCCTTTCATTAGAGAACCATGACGGAAGTCTTCCCCCCCTTCCCCCCTCCCATCCCAACTCCTCTTTTGATAAGGAGTCAGAAAGAAGGGGGGTAGTTGATAAAAACAGTTCTTTTTGTTGAGGCCTTTAAGTAGAATACCATGAAAGATAAAATTATCCCCCCCCCCCTCCACGGCCACCAACTGAACTCGAAAAGGAGTCGCGCGGAAAAATTATACTTTGTACTCCTCCCAAGGTAGTTGAAACATGACAGAAGTAATGGGGGTCCGGACGGACGGACGTACAAAATGCAAACAGCACATTGTTTTAATTCTTAAAAATGCACTTAAAATAGCAGACTTGGACATTCATGACGCAAATAAGATCACTCTACTTAAGTTGAACAGCTAAATTAACATCGAAAAAGGAGAAGGACATCTCATCCGATAGCCCAATAGGTAATAAAAAAAATTAGAAAAAACAGCTCTTTAATAGAAAGGTCGTGTATACTTCCTAATACTTATAAGCTCCCGTTACAGTCGCTTAAAAAATGTGTACTGGGGGTGAGTCATTTCGCGCTGTGGGAAACCTTGTATTCACAAAGTGCAAGTGACCCAATTTTATCGCTTAGCCGCCAGACTCTAAATCGACATTCAAATTTAAATCACGCGTTTAAAAGATTAGGTTTAATCGGCTGGTATTAATTGCGTTAAATGTTGTGTTAAAGTGTATCTCATTTAAATCCGGTCGTTGCGAGTAGACATTTGTTATCGCTGCGTAAGCTAATTAGATTGAAGAAGCAGGTCTCGCTGGTGTTTAATTTCGAAGACGCAAATTCAAGTAAATGAGAAGCGGAAACTGAGAGAGAGAAGAATGTTTTAAATACCAGAGGAGGACGTGAATCGTAGATTGTTTGGTGGTGGTCGTTAATCGTTGCTTTTTGCTACCCGCTTATTGTTTTGGAAAATAGCAGTTGTTGCCATATGTGAACGTATTATTGCAAGACAGTCCGTCTTGCCAGTTGTAAAGTTTTGTAGACAAAAGTTGGAGAGTGTTTAAGGAGATTTAAGTCGTCGTGATAAAATTGAACCTTTAAATCTGGCTGAAAGAGGTGAAGTTTACAAGGAGTTAGTCGGAGTATTTATCGAGTAGTTATCGCCTTCCTCGGTACCCGTTAAAGGGAGTTTTTCCACCATTGAAGAGGTAATTTTACATCGGTAATTCAAACAAAGTCAATGTCGTCGAAATAGAGATTTAAGCGCAATCAAAGAAATAAAGTTGTGAATCATCCTCGTTTCGTGTTTATTGTTTGTGCATCAGTTAAAGCATTTTGATTATTAATGATTTAAGGTCATTAAGATTGCCTGGTATGTGTACTTTAGCCCTGAGTGCCTCTGTGAAAGATCTATTCCTATTGTGTGTTTAATCGAGCCCAAACTTCGACTTAGGATATCAATGATATCATACTACATTTTTCTGTTGGTTCCCAGGGATATGTCAGGGTTCATGGATATAATTCTTTGGAATTGTGGAGTTGATCAAAGCTTCCGAGTTTTCTCAAATTAATAAAATTAAAGACTGATCGAGATTTTTAGATGTGGCGGATAATGCACCTGTCCTGAAAAAATTATAATCATTTCGGATAAATGATTTTGTTAGCACCTGTGCTTAATTGAGCTAGCTGGACAGATGTTTGTGTTTGTGGGTGGTTTAGTGGCAGTTTGCCATTGCACATAGCGCTACATTTTAAGGCTTTGATAAAGCCACTAAGCCTTGGGGATACATTTTTGTAATGGGACCAAATTGCATAGGCTAGAAAGCGCGAAATAACAAATCTACATTTTTTATTTTATTCAACCATTGTTAATTAAAATTATTTCTTTCACTAAAAAGTATATTACAATTACTCTTCGGGCGATTCAGCGGTAGCTGACGCTTCCGATTCGGTAACAGCATCTTCACTCGGAGCTGCTTCTCCCGGAGCTTCTTGGGTAGAAGGTGGCTCTTCTGGAGCTTCTGGAGCAGCAGCTTGTTCTACCGGAGCTTCTTCTCCGGAAGCTTCTTGGACAGGCGTTTCTTCGACCGGAACATCTTGAGGTTCGCTTTCTGTAGCAGCAGGGGCTTCTGCTTCTCCGACTACTGGCGGAATTTCTTCTGGAGGCGCAGTCTCCTCAACGGCCTGTTCAGGGGGAACTTCCTCGACGACTTCCGGCGAAGGCTCCTCGACGGGTGCTGGTTCCTCTTCAATTGGAGTGGGTATCTCCTCCGAAATCTGAGATATCACCGGTTCGTCTAGCTTGGGAGATTCGGCGGGAGTAGCCGGCGGTGCAACTGACGGTATCTCCTCTTCGACGACTGGCACTTTAGCTTCAGCTTCTTTACTAGGTCTCTTCTCTATCTCCTTAGAGCCTTTCTTCTGATCCTGACGACTCCGAGTCCCCGGAACTGGTAAAAACAGCTTGAATTCTTGAGGCATCTCGTCGTCACCATACAATCTATCCGAAAAGTAAATTCTTCGTATCCGCACATTTGCGTGAATTTGCACGCGAACGGTTTCCAAGTAAGTCGTTCCTAAACCTTAGTCAGAAGAGAAAGTCATACGCCACACTTACCATAAGCACGCTTAGTAAAGTCCGCCAAATTAAACTGTATCTGATTCCAGCCGGGACTTAGACCGATCGGCATCGTAGTGCAGAAGGGACGAACTTTTGTAGTCGATTGGAAGTTGGAAACACGAAACCTTCGCCGCATTTCCTTGTCATCTAAATCAGTAATTACACTTTGTTAATAATGAACGGTAAACTTACCTGCAACCTGAATTTCGAAAGTAAAATACTTCTTCATATTCTTCACAATCATAACCAGAAAGGGCAGTTTGATTGCGAGTGATGCTCTCGCCTTTATGGGGCACGTAATGTATGTTGTTGCTACGTTAGTTCCAGAGAGTTCCAGTACTAATGATTTCACTTCATCGTCGACTACTCGCCTTATGTGACCATTCTTTACCTAAACGCGAACAGTAATTTAAGTTTCAAGAGTAACGGCCGTGAGGTAGCTTGAATATTAGTACGGAGACATGTCTCCTGAGATTCAGTCTCTTCAGCAAAATTGGGAGAATATTTATTCTAGCGCGGAACTTTCTGTCGTTGCAAATATATTTCTTATAAGGGTTGTCCATTTCCTGTTATAATATTATTATTAAATAGAATAACGTTGTTTAACCCGAAGTATCATCTGCGAAAATAATTTTCAGTTGCTTCCTTCGAATGGAAAGTTTAATGGAAGGTATATACTATAGTAGGTATAAATGGTGTGTATTAAAAGTTATGTTACGTTTCTTTACCATTGGAGAATGTATTGTTTCTCTTCAGAACTTATGTCGAGATTTCAACGTGTACCTATGCTCAGTAAGTGACAACACAAGTGATCTTCCAAACCCCAAATTGTTTAACGTTCGCACATAGCAAACTTCCTTATATCTTTTTCAATATACAGTGATATTTATTGAGAAGTACACATATCCAAAACAACTTAAATCTGGTGGATTACTTACGAATAAACACAAATTTGGTTTTATTTGAATTTGTTGCCTCAGTGTCTATTTTTCCTTTTATAATTGTTATATATATATACATATAATCGTATGAATATTTACACTTCTAATTCTTAATTTCTTACCAGGACAAATTTAATTTTATAAGGCTTTAAGCTGTTGTATCCAGTCTAGTGCTTCTGGAGAAATGCGATGAAGTGCTTCAAAACCGGGATTAAACTTAGAAGTTGTACATTCCTCAACTATATGTTTATTTGTAATTGCATATGATTTTCTTATTTAAATGTTATTAATTTTGTAAATTTTTTATTTAGATTTGTGTATTTAATTGTAAAACGTGAAAATGCTTGTTAAAATGTAGACACATCTGGTCGTTTGCGATAAGGAGGTTTTTCGGAAGAAATTTAATAAACGCGCGTGTTCTGATCGTTGTTATAAGATGCATATGGTCCTTCGAAGCTGTCGTTTTCAAGTCTAATTGGTGGTGTTTTTGAAAATGTTGTGAAAGAAGGAAACTATCTTATGGTGGAAATGGTGTTTCATTAAATACTGGAATCAACATAAAAAAGTTACGTGGTTAAATTTCGAAAACATCCTAAATTCATGTTGGTTGCATTAGCAACCAAATTCTATTAGATCAAAATGTTGGACAAAACATGATGTTTTGTTCAAAAATGTCTAATAAATTCAAAAAATTATTATAATAATTTAAAAATTTTCAATTTTTTTGAATCTCAATTTTTTTAAATTTTTTTAAATCCCTTTCGATTTGATTTGAATCACCTGATTCTTTTCTAATATGGTCTGTTACATATATTTTTTTTTAACTGAATATGCTATCTTTTTAGATTAACAATTATCAAACCCGATAACTTTTTACATTGCCCCTTATACTTATTCTAAAAACGGCCGATTGTTTATTCAACAACCATAAATAAAGAAACTTTTGTATAAAACAGTTTTCTGTATCTATCTTTTATTTCTGGATATTTTGAAATTGGCAATTTCTGATTTTCCCTCGTATCTCTTAAATGAGCGAAAATGTTCAAATTTTGATTTTGCCTAAATGCAGCATTAACTTTTTTTTACTTCACGTCATCGATTTAATATAAATAATTCTCTCAAACAAACTGCAACGCACTATTGTTGGCGTGCAGAATAAGAATGAACACTGTACGGTTCCGAAACGGTTAATCGATTCTAGATCGTATTGCTTACGTCAAATAATACTAATTGAACTGAATTTCGCTTGCATCCAGTTTTTGTTTACAGCAATGTTTTTTACGCCTACTTGATGCCATGCAAGCGAAATTCACTTCAATAAACATTCTTTAACGTAAGCGACACGAGCTAGAATCGCTTACCCGTTGCGGTACCTTACTTTGTTCATTCTTATTCTGCACGTGAACAATAACGCGTTGCAGTTTGTTTGAGTGAATTATTTATATTAAATCGACGACGTGAAGTAAAAAAAAGTTAACGCTGCATTTAGGGGGTTAATTACATATCGGAATAGTAATAACGGATGGACTATAGTCTTAATTTATATTGTTAGAATCAAAATGTGATTTTTACACAACGATGAACAGTGAGGGTTGAAATATTAACATGGTATCCGAGTGGTATCTAACTGTAAAAACAAATCTAGTTTGTCGCCTGTAGTGTTGGTTGCCTACAGCCATTTATTCTATGTATTAACATTTTTTTAGTATACATAGCCCATGTGTATACAAGGAAAATTCCCTGTATGTATATAATATCTTTACCTAAAGGGAGGTCTTCATGCAAACGAGTTTAAGTGGTATCAAATAAAGGCCCGCACATTTTTAAATGATGCCAATTTTTTAAAGCGAAAGATAAAGAGTGCCTAGGTTTTCTACGAAAGCGTAAAAGATACACTGTATGTACAGGGTGGCCAACTAAGAATGCGAGGTACTGTATCTGATCATCTATCTATCGTAGAGGCTTGCGGTAAAAAAATTTATTACTAAAACGGCCACGAGCAAAACCTGGAAAATATGTTTAAGTTTCTGAAATGAGCGCTAGGGGGCGTAACTGCAATCTGGAATCTAAAATAGTGATGTTTCTGTGAATTCCGCTATATTAACCTAACAAAAAAATGTCCGGTCCTTGAAGTCGACGATAATCTGAACAATTTTTGTTTGATAATTTTTCCTGTATCTCTAAAAATGGAGGTGTGGGGGGTATTCAAAGGTTTCCGTAAAGCACACCCTGTATCTTCGAAACGGCTGAGCCGATTTAAACAAACTCGGGTTGGTTCAAAAGAGCTATTCTTCAGTTACAAATATTATAATTTATACTATTTGAAGTTTTGTTAGTTTCACATATCACCGCTTGATGGCTTTTTTCGACATTCCGACAGAAATGGTTAATTCTCTCAAAAAAATTAAATGCATAAAAGTTTGTGAGTCTAAGAGATCTGCCTGTCAACGATGTTTTTGGAAATTTGCCGGTTTCCGTGGGCTGGGCTGCACCTAGAAAGCCATCGAACACCCCAAAAGTCCTTTAAATAGTTTTGTCGAAATAACTCGGAAAGGGACCATACATTGCAGAAACTCTGAAAACCTATATCCCTGATATGGCCAAAAAATTGAAGACATGAGTTTAATGAAAAGAGCATCCAAAGTTCTAAGTTAGCTGGGCGTGCGAGCCGTGCGCAGCCGCCTAAAGTAAGCGTATGTCCCATATACAGAAACTTTTGTGGTCGCACTCCTTCCAAACGGCTCAACCAACTTTTATTACATTTTTTTGTATATTTGCTATAGATATGAAAATAAGTCGTAAAAGTAGAGCCATCGACGTGCTTTCCCTCATTGGACAAACCAAATCTATTTCGCTTTGCAAAATTTCTAATTTAGATACTTCAATAATCAACAAAATTCCTGATCAGGATTCCGCACACGTCACACATGGAACCCAAAGGTAGTTTTGTGTCAAACTTCAAATTACTTAATGAGTATTACTATCAGAACAATGAAAAATAAAGGTTTGAATCTAATGCACCCTCCCGTTCTAAACTTTCATCATACCCATTCATCCTCTTGGCCCTTAACCGATAGCTTATTGTGCCTTCTGTATAAGCACTGTAATAGAGTAGGTACTATATCTCAGCTCCGATAAATGGGTTTCAATTTCTAGTCTTGAGCAAATGTGCATATTTTAGGAGAGCATATGCGAAGAGATGAGGGAAAATATAAACGGTGCAAATAACGCCCGTACTTTTATCCCCTTAAATAATAAATTTAATAGGCCCAACTAAACATTTTCCGCAGTGATGTAATTAAGAATAAGTTCTTTACCTCTCCCAAATAGATGTCAAGAAATTATTTACAGGGAGACGGATAAGCGCGGAGGTTTCCCTCCGTGCTTTTGTTTCTGTTATCGCTTCCAATTTACTTGAACTAGAGTTTTCATTTTATTTTTCTAAGCATTGTATAACACGAAAAGGTATATTTTCCTTACTAGCGGATTAAATGAAAGCTGGCCGGCATTTTTCACACAATTTGATAACAGCGCTGGCCCAAGTACAATGAAATAAAAAAGATTAGGTACATACCGATTTATCCCAAAGAGACAGTGGATTCGAACCAACACTATAAAATACGGAAATGAAACCACTTTGAAAGGCATTGGCAAACATTTTTGATAGATGTCTAAATAGTGAAGTTTAGACATTTTGTTTCGAAAGATTTGTCACCTGGGATAAACGGCGACGGTAATGAAATTTAATACTTTGTCACTAAAATTTTCTCCAAACGCATTATCTCCTTTGGAGTTAACTTAATAATTTCGGACGCGGCAGGTGGTACCAGCACTGGATTGCAAAATTCCCTATGGACTCGTACGCCGTCCAACGCTCTCGATTGTAAACTTTCGTGTACTTTAATTTCCTTAATAAATTGTCGACGCTGTTTCACTCCTTCTTTGTAATATCTTTGTCTGCAAACGACAAAGCTGCAAAATATCAGGGTAGGCGAGGGATGGTAATTAAGGGCACATTGTACTTACTATTCAATTTTCAAACGCGTATAGCTGGGAAAGATGCTCACATCGGAGCGTGTTAATTCGTTTCTTGCTACTAAAGATTTGTAGTATTCCGAAACAGCAGGAGCCATACTTTTATCGTCGATGCCCATTTTCACTAAGGATTTCTATTAGCGCGGGTGGAAAATAACGTTATCCCCATAAGTATTTCGGTTGCTAAGAAACACGATTTAGTTTTAGTCGATACATCAATAGCGTTTGCTACTCGATTTATTAGACATTAAAGACCTGAAAATACTACCTCTTATGAAACTCAAGTATGTAATATAACTGCGTTTATAAATTGCTTCCTTAGCGGCAACCAATTACGAAGTTTTCCCAAATTGTATTCACATGTTGAATGGTGATCTTTTGATAATATCTAATAAATGTTGAATATAACATTTAAAAATCCCAAATGTCATCAATAATGGAGTGAATTGTTCCCTAAAAGCTCTCTATTTTTCATTCAATTTTTCAATTTTTTTAATCCTCCCCTGGCCAAACTTACCTTTTGCACCGCACATCACACAGTATTGATGTAATTTTTAGTTTGAGCCGTTAATTAATCAGTAAAATTGGGGAGGGATTAATCCGGGGATAGTTTTGGAAGAAGATTCGGTCTTCGACTACGAGAGAGTTCATTATGAGGACCGCTACGACAAAATTTTGATTTTTGCGCCGACGAAACGCCACTTAAAAAAAATTAAAGCGCAAGAGGTTTCTATTTGTTGATCATAGCAACGTATTATTTGAACTTACGCCTAGGGAAATTATTTGTGACAGTACAAAAGCAAAGAGTTTTAAGCTCAACTTGCCCGTTTAGTCGGAGATAACCGAAGATAGTTTTATCGACCAAGGACAATGGCTCACAAATGGGCTAACAATGGATTTTTCTTAACGGGTAGACGCTCATCTTACTTAGAACTTGTGATAAACAGAATGCGCCTACATCCCCCTACCAGAAATTCAATTCTAAAAGAGTCGCAGTTGTAGTAGTAGAGAAAAAGTTGAGAAACAAATTGCAGTAGTAGTGAAAACATCGTCTGACGAAGATAATAAATAACGAACGTTTAATACCCGCATTTTTTCACAGAACTTTCCACTTTCCACTGTAAAGAAAACCTTTAAATCATTGAAGGGGGCTGTTTTTTTCCACATCCAATTAGCGAATTTCCGAAAGCACCATCTTGCCAAGAAGAATAAAGACGAGTCCGTATTGTACGAAAAAGCCATTACCTCCAAAGGATATTCTAGAGGAGGTAATCTCATTTTTCATTATATAAAATAAAGGATGGAGAAAATTTACGTAAGAAATGTTCGAGTGAGATAAATAATTTTTCAAAGTATGTAATTTGATATCCTTAAGAGGATCAGTCAATCGGCTAATTAAACTGTTATACATTATGTAATTATTTCTTTAACAGGTAAAGTTTGTTTTGCTTTAGTTTCAATGAAAATATCCATATGAATAGGTTCACCTTTTAATAGTTCTAACGTACGTATTTTTGTGTGAAAGTTTTACGATAAAGGTAAGAAAACGCGGCAATGAGTAAATACAATTCATAAATGGCCTTGTACCGGGGGTTGTTATTCAATTTTAAATTAATTATCTTTCACTCTCCGTATGGTAAGTAAAATAAATTTGTACATACAAAAGACCACATTGTATTTTTAACGTTATCTTTATCATGAGATTATATTAAGTTGAAAGGCGTTACTTTGTAAAGTGGGTGGGGAGACGGCAGTGAAGGCGGTTTTCAGCGCCGGTAGGGTAGAAATTACACTCACTCGTAGTCGTCTAGAATTGTTTAAGAAGAAGGATTTTCGAAGTAGAAATTACTGAATAACGCCATGGTATCAAGGTACTGAGGTGAATCGAATTTATTTTTAGAGGCCCTTTATTATATAGTAATATGAATTCCGCATTTAAATAGAAACCAGATTTTCTCAGAAAACACCATCGGCGTTTACGGTTTCTATGCCCATAAATTACAATAATGGTTATAGGTTGTGACTACAGAATTCGCTTATACGACTAAAGCAATTGGAATAGAGATTCTTTTAATTTGTAAAGGAAGCGGGCCGCCGGTTAATGGAACTCGTAGTTACATTAACTTTGTTACTCTACAAGTGGAATAGAATGGAGAGTCAATATAGTCTAACGAAGCACCCGCTTTCCGCTCTTCATACCCGAAGTTATGACCACACCGTATATTTGTGGAATCGACAGGTTTGCTGAACACCCGGTATCTAGAAGAGTGTAAAGTTGGGCACTTCGTTACTAAGAAATTGTAGTTTCTGATTTAAATTTACTTGTTTGCTTTCCGATATCGGGGAAAGGGAGTAATTAATTACAAACAGTTTCATTTAGTTCGATTTATCAAAGGTATACGCGTACGAAATGAGAATCCCAGTTCTCCCTACCCAATAAATAGAAAATGCACTTGTGATAATCCACCCTAGGCAACACATCTTTACATCTGAAACAAAAATATGATATGCTCTGTATATAACCAATGGACCGTTTTGCGCAGATGCCGAATACTAGGGATTTTCGTAACGTAGCTAGGGGAGAATGAAGAAGATAGCGACGGCGTCGACGGAAGGCATCACGCGTTCCCGGTTTTTTTTTATTCTTGATTATTTTGGTGGTGGTGTTTTGGAGGTGTATTTACAGATAGTAACCATTTTATCCTTTCTTGTACTAGCTATTTAATCATTGAATTTCTTGCCACAATTTGATATTATTTACATTTTGCTGATTTTGCATAAACTACGATATCTAAATCATGGCGTACTCCATGCCTTTGTTTTGGGTACCGTTAGATGAATCGTGTTTGTTATACTGTACAGATGATTATGCCATTATTTTGTTTAATTAAGTATTTATTTCTGTATTCACGAGGAGTTGATTTCCAATGCGATGTTGCTCTGTCCGATTGATCCGTAACTATTCCGTGAGGGAAGTACCTAATACAGTTTGATTGTTCGTTGTTTCTGATACTTTCTTAATCGTGGCGCGCTGCAGTTCTTGTGCGTTAGCTATACGAAGGGGGGGCTTTCTTATTTGATGTTTCGATGTTTGTGTGTGTGCGAGTGATTCAACTTGTCTCCGTGGAATAGGTACCTAATACAGTTCGATGGATCACTGTATCTGTTTCCTACTCGTGCGTATTGCAGTTCTTAGCATCTTAGCAATGCGAGTAGGGGTCCTCTCACTAACATTTCCACACACACATAAAGGTTCCGTCTTTTATTTAATTCCCTTCCCGATTATGTCTCGAGTCCCAACACATAAAAGAACCGATTACATAACGTAGAAGTTCATTTGCTCCACCCATATCGAGCCGACTGCCATCCAAATTCAAAAGTGCCGCGAAACGTCCATCGTTTCAACTTGAAAGGTAGGTGGCTCTGCTTGTAGATTTCTTTTGCCAGAGTTGCGAACGGTAAGTATAGGATAAGTCAACGTTTTTAGTGTCGGCTTGATAGACCTCTAGAAACATTACACTATGAAACTTGGATTTTTTTGCTTTTCATCGGACCCGAACTCGAGAGCCGACCACCTCCTGGAGTACTTGCAAACAACTGATTTAAATGTTTTTGTGGCGAGCGTGTGCCGGCTTGTTCCGTAGTGAGCCCTAGCGCCCATCGCATTGGCGAAACGTACCGGCCAATGACAGCACACGACGCGAGTCGGAATCCTTTATAAGCGGCGTTCCTGCGAGCAGAGAACAGTGGCATCCGCGCTTCGAGATCTTCAACAGCTCCAGCCGCCTACAGCCGAACGCGACCTCGGCTCCAGCTGACCATTACTCCCCGATCGATCCGCCAGCTCAGACCCGCTGAAACCACGCTTCGCCTAAGATCCGAGCCGCTTGTATATATTGTATATATTATTTGACAGTAAAACCATTTGGTTTACGTGCCAAAGTTTTAATTCAGGGAGCAGCCCCTACCTTCGTCCCTTTCGGACCACAGGCAAATTCTTTTCCAACTAATGGCATCCCACTGCAGGTTTCGGAATCTCCGATCCACTGACTGGGACTGCTATGTGGCAAAACTGTCAGAGCGTTGGGATGGACCACCATTGCTCTGTTGGTAAGCAGGGCAGGTGGAAGAGGTGGGTGCATTAGTAAGCGACACCATAACAGCTGTAAACTGCGTACCTTTCGAGGAAAGAAGAGAACACCTTGGTGGAACTCAGATCTTAAAAAAGGCTCGTAAGGAACTTCGCAGGATCATGCGAACTAAGCTTCGTGCGGACGGAGAAGATCTTAAGACCGTTTGGTGGTGCAGTAGCCATGGTCTTTCCGTTAACCTGGAAAATAACGAGGTTGTTTCATTTACGAATAGAAGGAGAGCGGCCTTGATAGGCTCACTCTTCGAGAACGTCGACTGACCAAGTCGGTGAAATATGTGGAAGTCATTATAGACTCCCGCCTGACCTGGAAACGGCACATTGAGCGAATAAGCAAAAAGGTCACTGCATGTCTATGGGCATGTAGATGGGCTTTTGGTTGTATATGGGGCTTGAACCCTCGACTGGTATATTGGTTTTACGCTGTAGTGATAAGGCCAATAATACTGTATGGTGCACTTGTATGATGGCCTGCCATGCGCAGGAAAACCTACAGTAAGCAGCTAGGGAAGGTCCAGAGGCTCCCCTGCCTGGGAGTCACAGGAGCCCTGAACACTTCTGTGACTAGAGCCTTTACACTCAACTGTGGAGGCAGAGGCTCGAAAGGCTAAACGGGCCTTTGGTGTGCCTAAGTGCTACCTGGTCGGGCTCCCCTGTGAATAGAATAGAATAGATGCCTAAAAATATAGGATTTTTACTGCTCGAGCCGATGCAACTACCTGAAGGTGTCACTTTCAAAGGGCTCCACCGAAGTCAAAGGCGCACTGGCATGAGTTCTCTAAGTCGCCCTTCAAACGATATAAAAAATTTGCCCTGAAAGAACTTACGATTATAGCATTGAGGTCAGGCCACATAAAGATGATTTATACAAGATCACGCATAAAATAGTAGCAATTGGTTCCTAAAATGCAGGAATACATAATATTTTAATTTGGTTTGAAAACGAACACCTGAAAAGTGAAAAGAAAGCGTGAGTTTCATTTTATGAATGTATCCAGACTGTAGTATAACTATTACGTTGTCTATTGTCAATAAAGAATTATTTATAGAGACACATTACCTAAAACACCCCCTGGATTTTACCCAAAGTACTAACCGTCGGTGGAATATACAGATCATAATTTCCTTGTCACTCGGTATATGAAATTATGTTCGCGTGCTAAAGTGAATGCGACCGATAATAATCAAATTTATTGAACGCACACTCAACTCATGACGTAACACAACCTTGAAATGACGTAACCAAACATGTCAATTTTTACATTTTTAAAAACGAAATTATGAGTATTAAAAATCACAAAAATAATGAAACTTGGAACGTCAAAGAATTAGGAAACTGATAATGTCTTCTGCAAACCAACTCGAACATTAATTCAAGACAAGACGTACATTAAAACACCAAAAAAATGATTTTTAAAACGTGACTATAAAACATGAGTGATGCAATTTCAGATACTAATCTTATTCAATTTTCCATGTATATAAAGACACTATATACATTACAAAAATACTACACCTGAAAGTGAAGAGAAGATGATGGCGATGGTCGAAACACCACCGCCCGATTTCATCAAGACGATAGAATGGGATATGATGGACAAAACCAAATTTTTTCCGTTATCAATGCTTAGTTCGTTTAGTATACGATGTGCTTTATATCCACTTACCTTGATCAAAACTCGGTTACAGATTCAAAAGCAGAATGTCTTATATCGAGGTATATTCTTTAATTAGTTAGGAATGAAGTCATGAAGATTATTTTAGGAATGATTGATGCGTACATCAAAATTTTTCGAAAGGAGGGTTTCTCGGGGCTTTATAAAGGCTTTTGGGTGTCATCCGTACAGATAGTTAGTGGTAAGTGGTTTATCGAGACTAAGTGCACGGAACTGATTTATACACTTGCAGGGGTCTTCTATATCTCGACGTACGAAGGAGTTCGGTATTCGTTGGCTCAAAAAAACATAGATTCAAGATTTAGGTCTCTAATGGCCGGTGGTGTGGCTTCTGCTGTTAGTCAGACGATTATTGTACCATTTGATGTAGTCAGCCAGCACTTAATGATGTTGGGTGCTTTGGATTCCAAGGTAATAAATATGTGGTAGGTACATGTGGTACAGGCGTTTGTTTTAGGAGGCATTTTATATAAAGGAAGACATTATGAGGAAAGGCAAATTTGCCGTAACATCAGAAATAGTTAGACAAATTTTTCGTTGCGACGGTATTGCCGGATTTTACAGAGGTTACACTGCAAGTTTATGTGCATATGTGCCCAATTCGGCACTATGGTGGGCATTTTACCATTTTTATCAAGGTTTGATATTTGCAATTTTTATTCCATGTCTGAATGATACCATTTGTAGATCAATTGCACGTTATTCTTCCTTCTTGGATCTCACATCTTCTAATACAGACCGTGTCTGGGACGTTAGGAGGTTTCTCCACAACTATAATAACAAACCCTCTAGATGTAGTTAGGGCGCGGTTACAAGTTCAAAGACTCGAATCAATTAGTGGCGCATTTAAGGATTTATGGCACGAAGAAGGTTTGAAAATGTTTTCGAAGGGATTAAGTGCTCGTTTAGTTCAATCTGCAACTTTTAGCTTTAGTATTATATTAGGATATGAAACCATTAAACGAATTTCAGTTAATGAAGAATATAAACAATTTATACGTTGGTGATTCTAGGCATTTTTGTTTTACGAACTTTACATATATCTTGGTAATTTATTACTTGGTCTATTATTTATGTGTTTAGTTAAGTTTTTTGTGCCATCCAGTTGATGGACTTCAGATTTTGTTTGAAAAACATAAGATTGTGATAATTCAAGTTTATACTGTTAAAAATTGCTAATTTTATACAGGACAATATAACTGGATAGTAAAAAGAACAATTATTTTAAAACAGAAACATTATTTAAACACTCAAAGTGTTGTAAAAGTGACAGCTTCACAAAATGTTAAAATGAAATTGTTAATAAAATAATGAACAATGTTTTTTACTCGGTTTTTTTAGTTGCCACGTTTTGTAAGAAGTGCTTATTTTGAACAAAATTAAGTGCTCTGATATCTGAACCACCAGTCCATCACTGAAAAATTTTAACCTCAAGGTCCTCAAAAAATCCTGATTGTTTATTTCGTGGCGTTAAAAATTTTGGAATTTGATGCTACTCGGTTTTGTTAACTTTACTAGTTTTGTGAAATCTTTTTCTCAATTTTCTTTGCTTTTGCTTGCCTAGTTAGATCATTAAACTATGTTTTAAGATATCCCGCTAGGTCACTCATAGAGTCTAAATCGAAGAGTTTTTATTAACGTAATCTCGGCCACGAGATATGTAATTCGCCCCTCGTTCGGAGTTTTCGAACCTACAGTTGACTGTTGAGATCAGGTCCGGTATTGAGTGTCGTAACTTATTAGGTTTCAGTTTTTCCCACCCCCGTGACCGTCTCTTCAAGGCGAAACAACAAGTCAGTACGCATACACACATCAAACAATTCGATAATTTCTACAAGTTTAAAAGTAAGATCAAAAATAAAGGTACATTGTAAGTTGGAGTCAAGACCATGTCATCGAAACATAAACAAAAATTTAGCTAACATCACACCAAAAATAAACACGATTCCAAACAATAGTTTAACGGTATCAAACACATGATTCTGCACTGAGGTTAAGTCAAGTCAACTTCAAAATCCAAGATATAAAATGCTGCATACAAAACACAAATACATTATAAAGAAATAACACAAAAAAAAACAACAAACATTTACGGAACAACGCTTTCGTGACCGTTATTAAAAACAAGATGCCAAACGTAACCAACGTTGGGGATAGCGGAGAGAGCTTGTCTCCACTGATCTAAATAACAAATAGATGATCAATACTCTCTTTCAATAATAAGCAAATTACGACTTCGCGGAACGTATTTGATTAGGCACCATGAACATAAACGAGTACTAAAGTGATTGTTGTGTTATTTAATTCAATGCCTATACCATTGTATACCGTAGTCGTGATCATTTTTGATCCCAACTAGCACTCATGTCTACAGCTCAAAAATTTCCGGAAATTCAAAACCGAGTTCAAAACCCACTCCTTGTATTATGATTATCTTGAATAGCACAACACCCCTCCCTTCCCTCAGTACGTCCCAGGATGTAGCTACATAATCTTGATATCGCTGATTGGTTGAAGCCTTCTGAGAACTATTACGCAAACGAGCCGCATGATGCTTTATGGATTTTCCCATTTAATTCCGTCATTTCGTAAATCATCACTAAACCCAACTGTCGCACAATTGACTCTTATCAATTGGTGTGTTACAGTCGCAGAGTTGTATCATTGAATAATTCAATGGTTGTGTATAGTATAGTAAATAGAAAGACAGTGTTGTTACGAATAATTGCCCCCAATTGAATCTTGCGCAGGTTACGCACTCATTGAATCTTATATACCTGTCGAAACGAAAACAATTGGTGGTGTAAAATAACAAAAGGTTCCAGATCACAGAGATTACATGTGGGGTGCCACAGAGATCTGTCCCAGGCCCACTTTGTTTCTGCATATTTGACAAAAGAAAATTTGCCACATGGACGACTGACGGATATATCAGCTACCATGTCTACCGGTCTACAAAGATAATTAATCACAACATTTAAAATGAATCTGGCGCCTGGCGGATATATCGGGACCACAGAAATTGTTATTTTTAGTTCAGTGATCGCGATTTGCTAATTTGCCATACAGACGAATGTCGCATATATTGGTCGCAGACCGATATATGTGACCTTGGCCATAGGCAAAAATGGGCACGCAGCCTACCGCCGCGCCGATTTTAAATTTTCAGTCATCACGCCACATGTTATACAGTACCGAACAAAATGTGCAGAGGTTGTTTAATAAAAAAATATGTAAAAAAAATTGTTTAAAATAAAAAATGTCTTTACTTAATAAACAATTATTATATTATGTAATGTCTATATTGTTTTTTTTCTGACCGATATACAGGGTGGCTATTAAAGATGGAACAGAAGCTCTCACTCTCAAACCGTTTGATATAGACATGAAAATTAAAACGCTTCCACTTAAAATTATTTCGTATAGGTTAAAACTTAGATCATACACATTAACATGAACCAAGGGTTAAAAAGAATGTTTTTTATACAGGGTGTTTGAGGGCGACCGCCATCTTGAATTTTTTTTAATGACAACTTAGTTCATGTGAAACGTCATTAGAAAGCTTCTTTTTTTTCTCTTTCTTACTACCTTAATTATGAATGGTGGAATCAATCGGACGTTTCTAAACAACATTACCGTGCACACGAACAGAGAGCAATACAAATTTATAAATAATCTCGAGGATCGTTAATAAATGGTAAAGAATGAAGGGAAATTAAAACCGAGTTGCCATCTGCAACTGAAAGGAACGAGACGAAGTAACACAGTATTCAAAGCCGAAAGTAATCACTGAAGATAAAAAACGTAAATTCATTTTCCGCAATTAACAATTAATAGTACAAGTTTCACATTTTGCATTTCAAAGTTCTTGCATCCACTCCTCTAGGTTTGAACTCCATAGTTTACATGGAGATTTTGAGTACAATAAATTAATAAAAATAAAGTTCTCATGAAATGTTGAGTTTAACTTACCAAATTTGATTTGGAATTCCTAACCTCTACCAAAGAATACATTATTAGTTACTCTTTGCCTTTATACATTTTTGCAATGGAATCAAAGTATGTTATATCAGGTCCACCTTGGAATTGAATGGACCTAAAAAAGTGCATGAAATGCGAGTTGTGGACCAGATAAAAATGAATGGGTATGTGAATCAATGATTGGATAAATCAGGTTGTCAACATAGATAGGAGATTGGATAAACTGAAATCAAAAAGACTAATTTACAATATTTTATTTTCTAATTTTCTCAATAATGACAAAGTGGGTAACAATAGTAACCAAAGAGAAGTGAATATAATTGACCCTTATTGCAAGTTTGATGAAACTAATTAGTGTTAGTAAAAGAAAAAAAAAGTTATTACACTTCACAATTATTGCATTCTACCTTACACAAAATTACAAAACTACAAACCTATTAAAAAAACCTTGATCGTTAGGTAAAATTGAGCGTTGTACCTCCCTACAACAGGTATGTGATAATAAAACAGCAAACATTAACCTTGTACTACCTATATTATCAACAAATCTATTAAAAAACGAGTCTCTTATAGCAATAATATTCTAAGCCTAAAATGATAAAAGCTTGGTCAAACTTAACAAGGTAGAAAATGTGATGCAGATCGACAATAAGGCATTCTTAGAACTGGTAACTATGGCAATTTCGTCTAATGTATGTAGCTCCAAACCCATTGTAAAGTAGGACGTAACATATTCAGATATACCTTACTGATTTTAGCATTAATTAGCTACCTAAATTAAATGTGTTAAAATAAGCTCGAAAATCGTGTATAACATGATACTTTTTATTTTGGAAATAAACAATTTTTGACACAACACACTACGTATATATATATTCGTCATTCAAATCTTTTTCTCAGCAAATATGCATCACGCCTAAGAATTTGGTTATCACAAGTGTTTTACTAAGGGTACTGCACATCTATTAAGAGGTGAGACAGGCACAATAATTGGTTTTGTGAAAATCGAATTTTTTTTATCGAGTTTTCTATACTAATCCCTATATTTGTTAATGGTGCTGTTTTAATAAAGAGACCAAATTATACCTCAGAGTCATACGTGAAGACGTCTTCCCAAATATTAATTTCCTTAGTTAATCTCTGTATGTCATGACTCATAACTCTGAGGACGTGTCATTGCAGGAAGCAATGAGAAGACATTTTTTATAGTTTAAAAATCTAAAGATTGTTTGTTACAAAGCATGTATATGTTATGCTATGAAAATATCTACAATTAATGCCCATTGCACACCTTTGTTACACATAACAAATGACATCACAACAATGCACATAGTGTTGTCATCAAATAGAGAATACTATAATGAGCAGACTGCTGCAAAAATTTCAAAATATCTCTTAGGTACCGAATTTAAAACGAATAAAAATGTGCAATGGGAAAAATTGTACAAACTGTATGTAAATGTGGCTACAAAATATACTATATTTATTTATGAATTCCTATAAATTTCGAAGAAAATCCTTTCAAAATAGCAACTGTAACGATAAGTACTTACAATTGTACTTACGTTAGCAGTGGGTGAATTTATAAAATTCAGGTAAAATTAATTACACCTTTAAAAACAAATGTTCAAAGAGAGTTAGATAACACCGCAAAAGTTAGAATAAAATTTCAAATACAATTAAAGGCATAAACTAATGCGTTATCAAAATATCGATCAATCACGTCAACATCAAAATACCAAACAAAATGGCACAAACAATAAAATATGGACAAACTTTGACAACGACTAAAACTATTCAATAGTTGATCAGTTCCCAACTACTCCTTAAATTTACATTAAAAACTAATGTTGTACTTCAAGAACAAAAAATTGCATTTTTTTAACATTCATTATTTTTCACAACCATATTCCAACTTAACACATTTTAAAAATGTCTAAGCGCTTACCTTACTGTCTATAACCTTGCATGAGTTCGCTCAAATTAACCAAACCATTGAGATCGATATTACAATCGTCCAACTGATCGAGATAATCCATTCCTTGCCCGGCACCAGTCATTGTAGTCGCCACTGAACCAGCATAGCTGCACAGACATAACCAGACATCACATACTGCAACACAGACCAACCATAACATAATACGAAAACAAAGCTACTAAGCTACATTGAATAGAGAATGTTGCAAGATGTCTGGTTTTGTCTGTTTTGCAGCATGATTTTCATTCACGCAAGTAAAGGGTTAGCAAATAGCAAAAACACTATCCTTCTAGGAAAGGCATACGATCAGAAAACGAATTTTTTGATCACATGCGCAAAAAAAAAACAAATGATTAAAAACGAGAGAAAATAATGTCGAGTCTAAACAATAAATTGTATTTCATATAAAAGTGTATATAAACTATGAAACGTTATCAATTAAGAAGCATATGTAAGGTATAAATCAACATTAATATAAAATAATAAGTAAATGTTAAAAATGCAATGTTCAATATGGTCCAAAAGTTTCTCATAGATCGAGCATGCTCTGAAAACTAAGATTAAAAGCATTTAATCGGAATATAAATTGTAACCGTTTTGAGGAACAACAAATCAACGTCACAGAAGACAGCAGATACAATGTTAAATTTTAAATCATAGCTTGATGCGACAAGGTCATGGTGCAAAGACAACAGAAACAGTCAAAATAGTTCAGAATAACACAGTGGGTTCATTTAAATTTTATTACTGAAAGGAAAAGTCACATTTGGTAGACGAAAAATTTAATGTGAAAGCGTATAAAATTCCAATGAACACACTGTATGATGAAAAAGTATGAATTACAATTTATATTCTGAAAGAAGCTCAAACATATACTACTGGCACTAGCAACTGGACTTTTTATTTCCGTGTATTTCAATTAATGAAAACTAACTACTAATTTGTACAATTCTTTGTACATTTCTGTTATTTACATTTATCTTGTAACATTTATAAATACATCACATGTTAAAACATAATACATAGATCACATGCTTGCCATAACCGAGTGGTACATCACGTTGGAAATGTGATGCGCATTGGCAGAAATGTTTAGGAAATGTATAAGGTAAATTTGGAAATTGAGGAAATGTGGTCAACTTATTTATTTATAAGTGATATACCTCTCAGCCCCAACATTTTAACAGCAAAAAAGTAAAAACACAAACAATATCATACAAATAATACTATAATGAGTAGAGCTTTCGCAGTTTATAAAAGCTCTTGAAAAAGTCCAGTTTCTATTTATCCGTTACTAACCTGCTTGCAACAGAAGGTGTGTCTCTGCTAGGATCAGGCGATTGTAAAAATGGATGTTGCGGAGTATTCGGGTAGCTAACAACACCGGGACCACTCCAACCAGGCACGTGAGTGACAAGCAATGGCTTCACGTATCCATTATTTGCCGTGGGTTGATTGTCTACAAAAAAAATAACGTAGCCCCGCCTCTTGGATATGTACAAGTGAGTACCTTGGAAAGGTGTGTAATATTTATTGAACGCAATATCCTTGGGAATATCCGGATATAAGTTTAACAAATGGCTGAGATCAGCTATCCGGTCCGCTAAAGATCGTATTGCAAAATCTTTTGATGTAAACGGTTGTAGCATAAATACTTCAGAACTGTCTGCAATAAAACTGTTAACACTACCAGATCGAAATTTCACTTTCATACCTGAAACCCATGCGATTGTCACTCCGCCTAATTCGCTGTCGGAAAATCTTAACAAAAACGTGCCACTTGGGCGACTCTGTAACATCTCCTCGGTTTGTTTTTTACGTATAAATCCTAATATTGCACTGTAAAATATCGATTAAAATAAATTTTTCGAGTCAACTGCAACGTACCCATCCACCCAAGGTCCTCGCAAATGCTCACGAGTCAATTTCATCACAGCATAAAACCATTCCCAGAATGTAAAATTGCGTTCACTAAGCGGCTCCTTGCAGAACTGCGCCCAACTTAACATTTGATTTGGTTCACTATAATTACCTCTAAATGCTTTTTCGGCTAAAAATCTAATATTCTCCTCGGTTAAAGGTCGGCCGGTAGCTGCTCTAAATTTAAGTGATAGAGTTTCAGCCACATTGGACCATGGTACCTGCAATTACAAACACACAATTTATAGTCCCATTTAAATAAATCCAAATATGGGGAGAGTGAGATCCTTCAATTAGTTAACAAAGAAGCAAAGAAGGAGAGATATGAAAAAAATTAACATGCAGTCCTGTCCGTGGTGCGTGAGTGGTGCACGGTCCAGCAAGACCTTCATCACGCCACGACAAAAGTTCGCCAGTCCTTTACTATTATATTACACCGCAAAGCGGAAGACATAAATGTAATATACCATATGTTCAAAATAAACCCACACTAGCGTAGACCTAAAGCACCAATCGTCACAATGAGATTTACCTACTAAAAAAGAACTGATCAAGATATTGGTCCTTTCCTTTCAATTTTCCATCGTCTGCCTGTTCCATCGAGATCTCAGCCCCTGGGCCACCTAGAGATCTCGGGTTTTCGCTAACTGATAGCTGCTATGGTCTATATTTGCCCGTTACTCATCATTTACAGTTGTGTTACGCAGCAACACCCACGAGTATGTTTTGAAACATTATTTCACTTTTTTCAAATATTACGACATTTTAAAAAAACCCAAACATATTTCACAATGATTAAGTAAATTCGAGAGTAATTAATCAAAAATTACCAAACAATAAATCAATAAAAACAGTTTATCATGCGCAAACCCGATGAATAAAATAATATAAACAAGATTTATCAAAAACTTCTGCTTCTTAACCGAGGTTAGTGGAGATTGGTAACTCGAGATACATTGTAGATAAAACGAATGGCGCATAGACGCGATCTTGGAAGTTGAAACTGTCAATTTTATATCAAAAAGTAAGTATTGTTGTGTAAATAACGTCATGTAAACACCGAAAATAATGACAGGGCATCCTGTATATGAGAAATATTTCAATTTATTAAGTAAATCTGGAGGATTCATTTTATTTGAATTTGTATCAATATTCTTTTTCCTTTCAGAAATTTTATTAAAGCCGTAATACTTAAAATTTTATCGCTTTGGTAATTTATTCAATTGTGTTAGAAGTAAGACACATCTGGTCGTTTGCGATAAGGAATTTTATCGGGCGAAAATTAATTAACGCGCGTGTTTTATGACTGTGAAGCATTTCATATTGGAAAAGTGGGGACGTTTGACGTGTTCCGTTGTGATTGCAATTTATTTAAAATTTTGTAAAGGAGGTTATTTTATGGTCGAAATGGTGTTTCTTTAAATACTGGAGACGAGTAAGCGCGGCTGCATCATTTCGCGACGGTTAAAGTACGTGGAAATTTGTTTACGCTAATCTCAGGCAGTCAGCCCTATTTGCTTTCAGAAAAAACTCGTGGTTGGACCATGATCTAAATGGGGTGATGAACCATACAGAAATTGAGTCGTTTATTTCCCCTATTTGCTTTGTTGAAGACGCAGTTCGTCATTTTTTATAATAAATCTGTGGAGAAGACAGTTCACCAACGTTGTGCGAGAAGTTTAACGCACGTCCGATTATGGAAAAAGTTTTATTAAAAGTTAAAAAAGGAAACTGTGCAGTACAGGAAGGCCGTTTGTTAAGGTTCTTTTCCTATTAAAAGTTAAGTTTTCTAGATTCTGTCAGCAATTTCAATATTATCAACAAGTGAAGTTTCCTGAAGCTGTCAGTGATTGTTTTTGTGTCAATTTTAGTGAGGCGGAAATCGCAAACTTTATACGACCCAATTATTTGGATTATTTAAAAAAAGTCCTGTTTTTTCCACTGCTCAATAACTTTACTCTCCAAATAAATTTCATGGATACCATTTTGATACAATTGTTGTCAATGTACTTATTTGCAGAATAAATCTAGGTATTGAGAGTTGGAAAAACTGGCCCTAAGTAATTTAAGATTTACTATTTTATTTGTCGATCGCCTGCATGCGGAGTAATATATTCAAACAAACCTTTTAAGGTTTTTCTTTCTTTCAGGGATTTTGTTTTAATTTTTTTTCAGGTGGTTCAGAATAAATCTTTGTCATTCTCCATCAATTAATTGTGTTTATTCGAATCCATTGTGTGACCCGGATAGTTTTTATGTCAGATTTGTGCCCAAGATTTATGTCAGATGTGAATGAAAATTTGTTTAGTTCTTGGAATTTGCGGAAGTTGATCGAGGGTACCAAGTCTCGCAAATTATTAATTTAAAGTCAACATTGAGATATTTTATTGTGACTCAAAATATTTTTACCTTACTTAGCCTCCCTCCCAAATTTCAAATTGACATCTTACACTGTTTCCAATTTAAAAATTAAACTGTAAGAATTAAGATCACATGGAGCGTTTCATGTTTTCTTACAAGAATGTGCAACAGAAAAACACAAATCGAAACCATCATGATTTGTTGCTTTTCTCGATTCAGTAAACCAATAAAATATTTTTAGATAAAACTAGTCAACGTTTTATATAAAAGATAAAATGATATTCTCCGGTATAAAAAATAATTGACTATTTTAATTAAACAATTATGAACCAATTATTGTGACTATCAATTATCGTTTACTCATACCCAATATACCTCGCAATATACGTAGTAATCAATCAAAATATTTCTATTATGGAATTTGGTTGCCACTCACGTGACATAAAGTAAAAATTAAATATAACATTTAAAAATAATGAAATTAATTTTTGTAGCAAAATCGATATAGCCCAAATAAATCTGATTTTCCTTCCTTAAGGCCCCCCTTCACGTACAGTTCTTATCTTCGCTCCCGGATTGAATTCCTGGCGCGCGCTCCCGATGTGTGACATGCGTTGCATCTACACGTTCGCGCTTGATTTTTAATTTATTTCAGTTTTATTCTGTTTCCGGGTCTGGTAGTGCAACAGTGCTGTTAAAGAATGAGTTTGAAGAAGAGGAAAGCAATTGCTTTTTTGTTGCTGTTGGACGACGAAAGGGAAGTAAGAAGTAAGAGAAAAAAGTATTGGTCGAAACCGTGGTATTTGAGAAGAAATGAATCCACACACATTGATTTGTTAAAGGAGATAAATCGAACAACCCTGAAACCCGGGAAACATAGGACTACCCATTCTAAATTTCATCAATTACATTCTACTAAAGCTATCTCTCTTTTGCACACCTTAAGTGTACTACCTCCACCTTTGTCATATTGTGTCAATCCCGATGTGAGAACTGAGCCGCATCTACATGCTCACATCTTGCTGTTGCTGCATGTCAGTTCGCGCCAGGAATTTAGTCCGATTTGATTTCTTCGCTCCGCGCCGCAACTGAAGCGCGCCTGGCATGTTTAACCCCTTCACGTGCAAGTTTGGATTTAACTGAAGGAGCGTCAGTCCAAAACTGACATAAAATTGCACGTGAAGGGGGGCCTTTAGACCCGACTTGTGTACCTTGATAAAAATGAAATGACCAATTTGATAAAATAGTCGATTCATCCAATAGGCAGTGTAACAATCCAGTCCAAAGAGATTTATAATCAAGTAACTCATTGAATGATCAATTATTGATATAAAAAAATCAAAAACCGGATTCTCCATTAATTATTCAAACGTAATGGATTAATCGCTGCTTTTAACATATCATGCATGTAATGCCAAACACTAAAAAAAAAGAGAAATACGAAGATTACTATGAAATACCTAAAAATGATCAAACACCACAAATTACCATTGAATATCAGACTAGCAGCGAAATACTATAATGAAACCGTACTCTCTGCATTAAACCAATGAAATGATTGAAATATATATAACCTTCAATAGAACTTTAAGACCCGTTTAAATCTTTCGTACTGAAAATTTCAGTGTTCTTAATTTTACAACCTGAAATTTGGACTTTGAATTTCACAGATCTCATTTTTACTTAGTCATTGAAAGTTTGCATAGAGGTACAATCCTTTACCTTATCTGGTACAGCAAAAGGTACACGACCTGGTTCCGAGAAGGCATTATCCCACGTAACAGTGGCCCAGGCGTGCGGCTCCTGATTTCCGTGCACTATCACGACGACGGGTAACGATAACGTCCAAACTTGAAACATAAGTTCACCCCCACCGACACTAAACTGTGACTGAAATAAAAGCGAGAACTTCTCATCCATCACACTTTCGGTCCCCTTCTTCTCGGCGCGCTTGATCTTCTTCAACTGCATGTTTCGAAAGCTGACCGACAGCTGTCTGGTCGCCTGCTGATATTCCATGGTGCCGGTGTTGTTTAAGATTTCGCCGCTCGCCTCTCCGCTCTTTCCCAGTTTGTCATTTTTAAGCAGAATGTTCGCCTGCGACTCTGAGATGATGGTCACCTTTACTTGGGGCGGCGTCATGTGAACGTTCAACTTTCCGCCCACCAATAACCGTACCGTCGCCGTAAACCTAGTGTTCGTTTTCATCACCTGCGGCGGTTGCTTCTCGATTATAAACGTCGAAGTTACAAGCGAACTAAGTAATTGTGTTATTTCTGTTAGGAGTTGCGGTAGGACGTCGGGAACGCCGGGCGTTGCAAGTGACAATTTTTTCTTCAACAATTCAACTTCTTTTATTTGTTGTCGATTAGACCAAATTAATTCGGCCAAACTTTCGCACCTGCAATCCCCTCAAGTTACAAAATAAAATTACAACTGTTTACATTACCATTCTTGTATAGTGTCCAAATTACTATTAAATATAGCACCATTACCGGCCAATTGCTGCTCTCGCTTCCAGCGGATGAGCTCTTCATCTAAAACGTGTCCTTGTAAAGTGTTGATCATTTGAAACGTTTCCTTCAGTTTGTCCACTAAGGTTAAACGCAGTTGTACCAACCCTGCAACCTGAATTAAATAATCAAAACACACGGCGTGACTTGCAACTAAGCATAGTTCGCTATATTTAAGATGCAGCTCATTACCTATGATATTTTCATCACATTCGGTAATAAAGTTCTTACCTTCTGTTGTAACACTTGCTCTAGTAGTTCTTTTTGGTGTGTAATTTTCTGTATGGCTGCAGTCGTTTGTGGAGAAGATTGTTGCGCAGACAATTGTTGAATGTGTGCTAATAATAATGATTTGCTTACATGAAAGATTAAATGTAAATGGTAATATTTACATACCACTTAATTTTGTGCACTCGTGATACTGTATTGCAAAGGCCTCTTGTTCTTGCTCCAGTCGTCGTAAATCTTCCGCAGTGTCCTATAGCAAAAGTAAGAATATACAATAAATCCATTGACTGATGGGTTTTCTTAAAGGTAGGCAAATTTAAATATTGTGGTGTCAGACGGACGATTTTTTTGGCTTTGGCACCTGCTATACCGATGGAACACCCTGTATGTGAATTTCATTTATTGTTAACGTTAAATATTGGTTGGAATTTGAGATTGAGCACAATCTTGATCATAATGGTTGCATTCGAGAACAATGTCGATTTATTATTTTGTGTTAGTAAGATAAGGAAGATCTGGAACATTTGCGTAGTATTGTAAAAGTTTATTTCCGGCCTGTGATAAGAACTGTTATCGCTACGTCCGCTGATGAAATTTCAAGATAAGAATCTTTCCAAGAGAAAAAGGGAAAAGTTTTAAATAAGCGAGCGGGTTGTTAAACGACGTCTTTTGTTGTACGTACGTTTGTTTGCTGAAAAGCAAAATTTTAACCGGATTTGAACTTAAGATAATTAAAACTTGAATTTGTTTAATGGATTGTTACGTGATGTGTTTTGTATGGTCCCTCCCGAGTGCCTGTTTTTCTTTCAATCTGATTATTTTATGTTAAATAAATTTGTTTCAACAGTAAATGATTGGCTGTGTGATGTATCAAGCCCAAAAAAAAGCAATTATTTATTATGTACGGGGTGGAACAGTCAAGTATGTAAAACAAATGGCTGACAAAATTACGTGTCAAAAATGATCATTTGTAAAAAATTTCCAAAATTCCTATCACTAGAGATCGACCGATGCTGATATTAATATCGGAATATCGGCCAATAACAATGTATCGGTCGCCAATGTCCGATACATTCATATAAAGACTATGAACATTTTAGAGAAAGTTTTGAAAATGAAGTATTTTGAAAATTGTCGAAATGTTTCTACAATCTTTAGTAGAATCGTTTTAGAAATAATTTCGGACACATCAGGACAATTTTGGAAATGTTTAGGAAATTGTACAAATCTTACAAAATTGAAAATATTTCAGCAATATTCTGCATAATAATTGCAATATTGTAGAAATTTTGAAAATATTAGGAAATTTTCGAAATATTTAGAAAATTGTTAAAATGTTTCCTACTGTTTGAAATGTTTCAAAAACTAGTAGGATTTGTTAGCATATTAAGAAACTTTTTGGAAATTTTAGGGTGGTTTGTACATTTGTGAGACAATTTTGAAACATTTTGAAAATTCTGAATTTTTTGGAATATAAGGAAGAGTAGAATATATCCTAATAACGTTGGACATGTTATTTTGTGTCAGAATAATTTAAAATCTTTCCATATTTTCGTTGTTTGGTCAAAAATTGCAAATTCCAGGATACGATTAATTAATTTCAAATATCCACGAATATCAAATTTCGTCACGATCACAATTTTATTCTCTACTTTTGATTGTAATGGTTTTTTTTTAATTTTTATTTTTTTCATCACATGAAAATGTACCGCTTCATAGCGAACGTTAACAAGGGTATGTCTGACGATAACAGACGATTTCAAGAAACGCGTTGTGAAAAACGAGCGTGGTTGCCAAGATCCTTTCGGGCCTAAGTTTCATTTCGTTTTGCGAAAAGCCAAGCACGTGATGGAAATGAGGGTTTACTATTCGCTTAAAAAAGTACGAGAGTTCAGAAATTAGGTACCGTATCAGAGGTTCGAATGAGCGAGATTTAAATACGAGAGAAGTGGGAGAGCTGTAATTCTAAGCGAGTCTTTCGAGCGACCACTGTACGTTATCTGACTAGTAGTGAAAAATTAGTAGTTTAACATCAGGCAACATTATATTCGTGAAGAAATATTCAATGAAAGTCAAATTCGTGTCAAATGGCAAGTTCCCTTAATTGTGCGTTAAAACGGTAAGTTAGCCTAGTTCGTAGTAAAGGCGTTAATTTCTCAGAGTTGAGTGACGCATTCAGACAGCGAATTTACGAGTATGAACAACATTGGTTTATTTCTGACAATTCGTTAATTAGTTTCAAAAGGCTCGTGTGTTTAGCGCTGATTACGTATTGGCATTGCATTTGAAATTAGTGGAAGTAGGAGTATGATAGATTAGTGGAAGTGGTATTTGTGAGAATATTAGCAGAATGAGTTCGATGAAAGTTTTTAATCAGTCAACACGAAAATCAGTTTTAATACAAACTTACAATGACACATTTCTTGAAATTAAATTTTTGACATTTTTCAAAATTACTTATATACTAAGCTGGCGCTGTATGAATATCAAACTTGATTATAATTATATTCCAACAGTATTCTGTTAAATACAGAAATACGCTTTAGCGCATTTTCCATGAATAGATCAGTACATCCCGAATGGTCCTGTAACGGACTATTTCTGTGTACAGAGAGAAATAAGTTATGGCACAAATATTTTTGTGAATAAGAAACTTAGCAATGCACAATCTGATGTTTCAAATATGCGATGTTTGCCTTTACTAGAAGAATTGTTAAAATTAAAAAAAATATACATATACATATGTAATATGGTCCAACATAGCCGGATCGACAAAAAAAGCAGCCACCTACCACTGCAGCAAATCTTGGATAGCTCCTAAAAGTGCTTTTGATTCATTTCTAAAAAAGACAAATGACCTTTCAACAAGCGATAAATTTATTTATTAAAACCATGATCATCAATAACATCAGCACACTTATTTATATCCTGTTTCAAGATTGTAACTGAAACTGTAAACTAAAATCATCTCCCAAAAAAACTTACTAACATAAATCGTGATCCTGTTTTAAATCTTCCTAATGTTTCATTTTTTAATAGATTCAAATTCTTCTTATACTGTGTATCCTATTTTGGTTAAGACTGCAGCGTATCTCAACTGTTTTAAAGACAACAATCAATAAAAATGGCTGGCGGCTGGCCGTATAAACATGACATTTCAAAATTTTGAAACGTGATAAAATAATAATCATATAAAAAAAATATAGATTCTGATACATCAATCTAATCAGGAAAAAGAATGCGAAAAATTGACGTTAAGATATACAGGGTGTTCCATTTAATAAATACCAACATTTGGTCTCGGCAACAGTGATCCCAACATTTTTTTACTACACCACTGAACTCTACGTAAAAAGATCTATAATAGGCACTTTTTACCTTTTTTCTATCTTACATGGGTAGTAAGATATGATGTCATTCACCATATCACAATTATTAGTCCATGCATTACATGGTCTCAGAAAAATACACACCAAGTACTAGACAATTCAATTTTGGCGCCAAGTACTACAGAACCTGGTTAATCCGAACACACTGAATATACCTCTATCTGGCTAATGTGAACAAATTCAGGATAATCCGAACAAAAGTGTGCTGCATAATTCTCCCACGAAAACATGAGCATGTGCGTAATGTGACCACAGATGGGTCCGCTCTTATTTGCATTTGGAATAGTTGTTCATTTTTGTTACGATTTATAAATAAATAAGTAATTCAAAATATCGCTTTATTGTTATTTTTGTTAATCCAATCAATTCACTAATCCGAACTTCCTCAGATCGCAATTAGTTCGGATAAGCGAGCTTCTACTGTAAATGTAAAAAATCACAGGTGAAAATGAGCAGGTCTTGAAGAACATTTAAACTGATATCACCTACTTATCACTATATAAATAAACGGGAATACAGTAAAATAAAGATAGATAAGATATACACAATAAAGAATAAATAGGTGCAACACAGCAATACATACCCGTGTGCGCGTCTTTATAATTTCCAATTTATGAATAACTTCCGCACTTGACCCATTCGTGACCAAGCTTGGAAAACCGGTAACTTCCCCGCTAGCAGCCTGCACTAAACGCATCTCCGTAGCCAAGCATTGTCTAACGTAGTTGAACAACTGCATAGGGTTACCGCTAAAATTGCAAAGTAAGATTTGCTAGAAAAATTTATCGCCTTTGGAGTACCTGTAACGTTGCCGAAACGTCTTCGCGGCCTCGGCCAATTTTAGTTTGGTTAGAAAAAATTCTGTGTCGGTCACTACGGCCGCTTTGTTTTCAATTTCTTGCACGAGCGAATTGAGTAAACCGGCGACATACTGCTCGTGCTGTGGATTCTCAGGGACAGGTTCGATGTCAGACCTGCACATAATGAACATTACAGATGAAATGGGATTAGTAGCGTACCAAAATTTATCTTCAATCCACTGTGCCAAGTAGTGTCTTACTTCTATTGGGAAATGCTCGCCATAAATTGCACGAATTTGTTGTAAACTCTCTGGAGGCAGTTGTTGCGCTTTTGCCCAAAGAGCCATGATGTGTTCCCTACAATTAATAAAAAAAGGTTGTAAATAAACAGACAGAAAGATGGGGAACAGGCCTGTATGTTTAGAATATTTATACAAAATTAGAATATAGAAATCAAGGTCGTTGAAAGAGCGGGACATGCGTTCCAAGATACAATCATTTTTGTTTAAACAAAAATTAACCAAATGCACTTACCAAACACACAATAAAAACCTAACAAACGTTTCTTTTTCCGCAAATAACTTGCAATGGAACCCTGTATGATTGTTTAATTATCATTAATTATTTAAAAAATAACTTCTTAAGCTACAATAGCACTGAATATTAACCAATATTCGCATTTCGTGAAGCCTGACTATTCTACAAAGTAGCCATTTCTAAATTTGGTCACGTGATCACAGATAACTTCTTATCTCACTCTTACCACCGCCGTCAAATAACACCGTCCTTAACTTATTTATTTACGTTTATTTTCCTAAATAAATAACCGAACATTGCGAGCAAGGAACCGCTCAACTTTCAAATAGGTACGTTTTTTTCGTTATTAGAATTCAAAATACTTAAACCTTTTCAATTTTTGTGTATCGAAAAATATAGGTAGGTAACTACCTAAATAAGTATAAATACCGCCGTGTGCATTCCAAGAAATTGATTAGGTATTCTTCTCGCAGAGCTTACATGAAAAAAGTTTAAAAATACTTCTTATACCACATACTTAAGTTAAATTAATTATGCAGACACAAATTAAGTCAATGGCGCTTGTCCTAAATTTTTCGGTAAATTCGCCGACCTTCAAACGCAATTATTTGCTGGTATTGTACCTATCATTCGATATTTATCATGCTCAGTGTCCTGGAAAAAGGACGGCTCACAATATGCATATACCTACCTACCAAAATACCGTCCTACAAATTTATATTTTGCACCGTCGAGCTTTTGTAAACTCCACAAAATCTAATTTTTTTGGGGACTTCAATTGTAACCTAAAAGGTCCTTAAGCAGAAGTATCTGAAATGTGCATTAATTTTTATAAACTTTCTCTCTTATTTAGTGATGATTAAAGAAGGGCAAGTTCCCAATTATTCATATATATGACCTTTGTTTATCCATTAACAAAGATATGACATAGGCATGGTTTGCACATAAAAGCCTATCTGATACATGTATAATTTTCTTCTCTAATTGAAACCTTAATTCTTATATTACAACTATATACATACGCTGTTGATTTTGGTACCTACTATTCTAACGTAAATTTCATTACGTGATTTATGTAGGTACCTAAGATATAAAATTAATTATTAATGTTGTAGTACGCTATTAACTATAAACAAATTATTATAAGGGTCCTTAAAATAATTGATTCATCTTTTCATATGAGCAACGCATGAAAGCTTTATAGGGGAGTCGATGGTGTCCGTCTGTCCGTCCGTAAACATGATAAAATGTCGAACGCTTGGACCGATTCGGTTCAAACTTCGCACAGTTGTCCTATATTATGCTACATGTAATAAACCTATTGAAAATGGGTCAAATTCAATGACCCAGTGAGATCACACCTCTCCGTCGTTGTCGTCTCTACCAAACTCTTGAACCTATTCGGTGCAAACTTTGCACAGTTGACCTATATGCCACATGCAACAAGTCTAATAAAAATGGGTCAACTCCAATTACCCCATAGGTTCACACCGAGGCGCTCTGCCGCTTTTTTAGATCCGCTTTAAGGGTTTATTTACTCTTAATTTTATAACACATTTACCACACAAATTCGAATTTCATTATTTATCACTGCGACAGCGATGCTAAGACTAAGACTTAACTGAGACAGTTCAATTTGCTTATATTGCCAACAATAAACCTAGGGAAATCTGGAAGTCACATCATATTTCACAGAAAGAATGAGTCATATACTTACGCTTTTACTCCTTATCGCCGCCAGTAACTAATCATTTATCGAAAATGTTCTAGAAAATTCGCTCCACTGCCTCTTTTTTAGGATAATTCCGAGAGAAATTGCCCTTATACCTATGATTGATGGTTTTGCCCGCTCGTCTGCACCTCGTCCACCTCGAGAACGAAGAGACAGAGCGATGTCAGACCTTCGCGAATCGATTTCGACGAGTTCAAGGATCATTATTGAATATGAACCGGTTTAAAAGTCGTGTTTACGAATGCGCAACTAATTTTGTTTTTTGACCATCATCAATTAAATGTCGGTGTTTTATGCAAAATATAAATAATAACTTGGGTAGTTTTTGCGGCCTTCGTTGGGATAGATCTGAAAGAGCGAACTTCGTTCAGTAGCTTTTTTTATTTAGTAGACGAGGTTGGGACGCCTATCCCACTCCTTCAGTGGACCAACTAAGTAATTAACTATTAATTTCACAAATTTTAACGAGTAAAAACTTACAAACTATTGTAGGTACTAAACACGTCCAGAAGTCGTATACTTGCCACCACGGCGGCAAATGTTTCTGGCTACTGACGTCACGCGGGGTAGTCTCGCGCACAGGTACGTTTTCTTGCTGCGTGCCGACCCTTGATTTTAAAGTGCTTACAGCGGACATAAATATCAATATTTTGCACCCAATCTTCTTCTGATCGTTTTTTAATAACAAAATCTCTCGATTTCGGTTAAAATTTAAAAAATGTCGAACCTGCTCATTGGCTAATGAAAATGATTTCATTGGCGTGGCTCGTCTGGAAGACGTATCCATTGATGGTTGGGATGCAAACGTCAAAAACACTATGAGCAGCGAGAACTAAACTGTATTGTCTCTGGCTATGAGCAGTCGAGACGTAGCCGTCGACGGCGGGTCGCTGCGTCCTTCAGGCGAACTATAAAATGTTAATTTTATATACCTATCTGCATATGAACAAATATGGAATTTAAAATGAATTTAGTGTTGTTATATAAACCTATAGAAATTCTAACGGTTCTTGACTTCTTGAGGACGTCTGACAATTCTCAATGATTCCCAAGAAATTTTAAACCCGGGGAATTCTTTTTCAACTTTTACTTTGATAATGTTACATCACTTTTAAAACACATTTTTGGTGACATTAGTGTTTTATTTCTTTCACTTCACATTTCATACTCATTACATTATTTTCTCACGTCCCATGAATGGAATGTATATTTAAATATATCCATTAAATACTTACATCTCTCACATAAATTATCACAATAACATAATAAAATTTTTATTCGTGCAACAATCCGTAAATTACAATAAATATATGTATAATGTAATGACAATATCAAATTAACACAATTACTTCCACAATTTACATATATACAGATCTATCTAACTAAGTAAAAATGTATAAAAATGACCAATCAGACTAATAGTTCCACTTAAATTGTTTTAAATCACTAACCAACTTTTCAATAATATCCTTAGTGCTATCGTAAGTTGCAAAACTAATCCCTACGGCAATTGGGCCCTTAATCCAATTCATTGACAATCCTTTGAAAAACCCACCTTTGATTCCTTCATACCTGTAAGCAATTTCAAATTAGACATCTACCTGTTGGGGTCCGATCATACTTATATATAACTCTTAAAGTTTCTAAAATACTGTTGTATTGTTTATATGTGTCAGTCTGCATTCTTCTACGCACTATATCCAAAGGATAGCTACTGGACTGGCCCAACATTCCTGCAACAGCACCAAATCCAAGTGCGGCAATAGGATGAAGTCTTGGCGTACTATCTACCCTTTCTTTAAATTGTTACTGTTAGTCTTGTATAAATACTAAGTCATAAACGTACCTCTATATAACCTTTTTAAGGTTTCGTACGTAAAAAATGAAACGCCAGCATAAGGAATTACGCCTATTATTGTCGGAATATACCCTCTATAAAACGTTAATAACCCTTCCTCTTTGTAAATCTTTACAAAAACCTATAATAAAAAATGTAATAAAGCGAAATGGGGAACAATGCTTACCTGTCGTAGGGTGGCATATGCCTTTTTGTGGGTAACTGCCATACGAGCACGAGCTAAATCTAGGGGATAGGTAATCGTCTGTGACGTGATTCCCGCTAATGAACCAGCAAGAAATTGTTTACCTTTGGTTTTGCTGGAACAAAAATTTAAATGTTGGTTATTGCAAATGGGTAACGCATCCTACTTTTCACATTTGGTGCTGAGAGATAATAGTGTAACATAGCTTGGAATAAGGATGGTGTACGGTTCGTAACAATGTTGTCGAACTCATTAAAAAAAACTCCAATAAAGCATAAAAAAAAGAGGACACTATTTTCTAGTCACGGCCATCGCGCTGTATAATTTAGAAGTATCACCTGCAGATGGCAACACGCGCAAATTGAGTTAGTCCCGAAAAAACAAGAACCCACACCCATGCAGACAGTTGTGAACAAAATCAAAAAATTATCATGCAAACGGCAAATATATTCCAGATATCTCTTCATTAACCTTCAATTACTATTTCTTGCATGAATAATCAATAAAAATTACTACCTTTGCCTTGTTATTAAGCATAGTAGTGTGTTTGAAACTACATATATTTATGACACAATTTGTGTAACCCCAGCTCTAATTTTCATAAAATAAAATTTCAGTGTTTATTTATTTTTATTGTATACACCATTACTGTATACCACTGATAAATAAAGATATTAAAACAGGTGCACAGTGTAGGGTTATGTATTTTAAGTCGGATTTTATTACCTAGCTAGATAATCAAAGTAAACAAATCTACATAAATAAAAATTTTATTTCCTTATGCTGTTGCTTTCGATTTTAACAATGTTAAAATTGTTCTTGATTGCACCAGAAGGTATTTTAACATGTCCACCCTGTTTTGAGATACAGAGACTATTTTCCTAACTCAACACCAAAAAGTTGTAATCGTTTCATTATCTTCCCTTCGCTATTTCTTTACTGTGCATGAAAATATATTGTAGCACTTCCCTCTCTCTTCTTTAATTTTTTTCTTGGTACCACATCAGCTGCCATATAGAATGTTCCTAAATAAGATGTAAATACAGAAGGGGTGATTCTTTGGCTTATTTTATGACTAAAAGTTTAGATAAACATGGATTCGCTTCATTACCAGTCTACAGGGTGTTAAAAATTTTTTAAATTTTTACGAGTTTTTAAATCTTTATACCTCCTGCATTTTTTGAAATATTTCGCTCAAATTTGAAATATAAGTTACGCTGATGAGCTTACATCATTGGTTAAGTCAATAATAATAATAATAATAATTTTTATTTTATTTATTTATTTATTTCATTTTTTTAGGACCCTACATAACTTCACCAGACACAGACACAATCGTTACTTGATTTTAATCCGTGCGATTAGTTAACCAGGCTAGACCTGAGTTCTCACAAGATACACCGACCATAATAATAATAATGATAATAAATCGTCTTTATTGAACATGTTCTCTGGCGAAATCTAGCTCAAGGCTATTCTATTTAACCAGAAAGCATGGAAATAAGTACACAAATTAAATATGCACAACACAAGATAACAATGATCATAGAATTAAAAAAAAAAACAAAATAAACATTATACATATCTGCAAGAACTCTCCCAAATTATGATTATGATTGAGAAGATATGCCTTTAAATGTTTTTTTAAATTATTTCCGCGATATTCCGTGATGTATGAGGGAAGAGAGTTATAAAGTTTCACAGAATTATAACTAAAGCTTCTTTGAAACATATCTGTTCGATGATGCGGTACCGTCAGTTTATTATTAAAATGTATGTTAACACGATGTCGACGTGACGCAGGTATCAGTACGTTGGCAGCCAAATTCGAGGTCAATGGTAGTGAGATCTACAGGGTGTTGTTTTTCAGTGGTCATATGTTCCATTTTCTACCCGAACTTTTTTTCGTTGCGCCACTGGTTGATTGTGAAACAAGAATTTAATTTTCTGGTTTCTTTAAAAACTTTAGTTAGTTAGCTAAATCAAAGTATAATTTTTAAAATGGTCCAATAGGCCCTGACTTTATTTGAATAGTATCTTATTTTTATTAGTTTTGACAGTTGGCATTGAATATCTGTAAAGGATATCCTGGCAAGTTTGATCATCAATGAAGCTACAGTAGAACTTGAATGGACAACAAAATTTGTTATGCACATTTAACACCACAAATATAAGTTGGTTCTATACACATATATCGGCGTACTTTCAGAATGTGCAGTTATGTGCTTTTTTAAAAAGATCTATTGTAAACATGTCAGCATAATTAAATAAGTAAGGATTTTGGTTCTTCGCATGTACGTACATAAGCTTTTGATTTTGTTTACTTTCGTGTTTCCATATGTTTGAAAATAACGTTATACCACAGCTTACTTACTATCCAGCTGCAGAACTCTCTTGGCGGGAGCGCTTTGCGCCGATCTAAGCGCGCAGCGCTTATGCCCCGCCTCTTGGGGTAAAAGACTGCATTGCCTGTTTTGGCGTGCAATCAAGCCCAGTATTGCCACGTTGTGCATTTTCCCGAACAATATGTCTAGCTTTTATGTCTCATTGTAGCGGTGAGATTTTAACATTGCTTATTGCTTTTTACTTATTATGCCACCTCCAACCGCTCACTTTTTATGTTGACGTTAAAAAATCAGATTTACTCGCACTCACAATTGCTAAAAGTAGACATAACAGGCGCTTTTTTCGGTTTCAATTAGGCAATAAAATTTATTAAACACCTAACCCTACTTTCATTGCAATATTACGTAATATTGTACAGCAAATTCTAAACGTTCACATTACAATACAGCACAAAAATCACCTACTACGGTACTGTGAAGCGACCATGCGATGAAAATTCGTTTAATCCGGCCCCGACTTTTACCCCAAACGCGAGAAAGTGCGCACCATTCTATCTCGCTTGGTTGTGGACCGCCAGATCAAAGGGGCGCCGCTCGAGAATTGCGGAGCTGGATAGTAAGCTGTGGTTATACCCTTTCGATAGAAAGCTATGAAGGATCAAACTAATTTTTAATGGGCGGAGCGGTTTCATTTCAGTATAGGTAGTAGGAATGGTCGCTGTGGAAAGCCGCCATAATAATTTTGCCCAAATATTCCCATTGCCCCTGGGAGCCATAAACTTACGTGCCCTTCTATTAAGGGCTTGGGTTAGGTACAGTAAATTCGCCTACAAAGATACTCCCAGAAGAAAGTTCTCATTGTCCCTTGGAATGCTCAGAATGTTCGTACCCTGAAAATTCGCGATCCCAACGTTCGAATTAACAGTAGACGTAAATTGGACTACCTACTTTAGAAATTTCAATCCGGCCAATTAAGTAGATGCAATTAACAGTAGCTAAATAAATATGTGGCAGTAAACAACACACGATTAAGTCGTGAGGGGTGTCAAAAGAAGCGCTGTTAATTAATTCGAATTTTAAGACCAATTGCAGATTTTTAGGACGACAGCCGACCGCATTATTAATTAATGAAGTTTTAATTTTTGGACAGTACTAACCGAATACGCCGGTGGGGCGCGATTTCCCCTCTCCGTATTTTGGTAAATGTATATAAGGTAGGCGCCCAATTTAGAGGGGATATTTGGACATTTGACTCTTCCTTAATGTTCTATAAACTATCAATCTATTAAAAAAATTACAGATACCACCCGCGCACCTGAGAATCTGTGTAACAAATTTTGTTCCAATCAGTTCAACCGTTTAGCCTGAAATGAAGTACAAACAAATAGATCAGCAAAACAATCGACCACATCGAGATTTTGTTTGATTCGGATTCCTGGTCGTGTACTTCCATCAAAAAAGTGGGTGGTCATTTTTTACCCCAATCCAATACCTCCCTTACTAACGTGCGGGTGGTAAAAAATCAGGTTATCGTTAACTACTAGGTACTTCAAATCTCATGTTATAAAAAACGTACTTACTCCTTATCGTTACAATCCGACTTATGAGGCTAAGCATCATTGCAAAAATTTAACATGTTGATACTCAATCTGAATAAAAGGGAGAATTTTGATGATGCAACGTTGCCACGCGAACTTCTACCAACTACTACAACAATATAAAATGGATTCCCTTTCACAAACCGCAACGCGTGTATACCTACGCGAGGGGGAGGTAGAGGAAGGTTGGGGGGGGGGGGGGAGGAACTGTAAAATACTCCGGTCTTTGGCGTAATTAATAACGGTACCGATATCGCGTTCCTTACCCCTGTTTCTCGTATCTGTTGAAATCACATGTGAGATTCCAAACACTACTCACAAAAGTTCTGTTATTATTACGGACCGGACTTATATGCATGAAAAACACGTGAAAAATTTACCACATACAGTGAATTTTTTTTTTAATGGCGAACATAGGAGTTTGGCATGCAATGTAATTTTCCCTATGTTTCGATTTAAACAAGTTTGTAATTCAGCATATGCTATGATTTTAAGCGCAATTTTTTTTGTTAATGGCAGAGTCAGTATTTTATTTAGCGAAGTTTAAAATTTCGATCTCACGAGTTAATTTTGCTGTCGTTAAATAAATTTATTTTATTTAATATTTAATTGACGGTATACGTCTTCATTTTGTTTAATACAAAATACAAAGTACAATAATTAAGTTTTATACTGTCGCGCTATCTTACGGTAAATTATAAGGCACATCCGAAACCCATATCTAAATTTAATTTTTTCAATTATCGATCTTACAAGTTTAATCTAAACTCAAATTAGACTGTGCCTGCACCATCTTACACTATAGCAGTGTAACTATACCCAGTAAAACACCACTATTTGAAAAATTTACGCTTTTTTATTTCAACTCAACAACACATCTTAACTCATTAGACAGTTCCATGACGTCTCTCTATCTATGACAAACGCCTACTCTTTCTTTCTCGTTTCCGAATCCGAATCCACTGCGGTCCCACATTCCTCCCTTTCTTTCCAATCTAGTGTATTCACTACCTTCGGGATTTTCAGATGGGCTCGTAGGGACGTTGACTTACCTTCTGTTGTTAATTCGAAACCGTCTCCAAATCCTGTAAACGTTTTCGAATTGTTGGATGTCTCCGGGCCCGCGGCAGGCTGTGAAAAGTATATCTAAGAATTTTATCTTAAGCGTGCCC